CGATACAGCGATCCATTTAAACATGAAATGATATGTTAATTTTTGTTCCCTTTTATCCAAGCCTATTAGCGAAATCATAGGTAAAACACGAACACTGACTTCCGCAGTCAGTAAGCTCGAAGAGCAATAAAATTCCGAAAGAATCTTTAACATAAACAATAGCAGTAGATAGTAATATCTCCTTCGAAATCACTTGTGAATCAGTTACAGACGAACCAATATATTCCGAATTGTTTATTGGTTGCAATAGATAACATTTCAAAACATCTGGCGTCAGCGTCAGCTCCGATTGTCTACTAAAGGGGGTCAGAATTATTAGCCGGTGCTTCCTCCCTTCCACACAACTCGCTTGGTAGAGGTGATTGCGAAAGTCTTGATTGGGAAAATGCAGTAAACGATGATGTCTTTTCATGCATTTTGACAGCTGAATTCGAACGACAGTTCTTTTCAGAATGAGTCGGATTAAAACCCAAGCAATTAAAGCATAATTTATGTTTCTTAACAAATTCAAGACGTTCACTTACAGTCATTTTCAAGAAAGAAGTACAGTTATACAACTTGTGAAAATGTTACTTTTACAACAAATACATTTAAAATCTTGACCTTTAAGATTTGACACTAAGGCAGTCACTTTTTGAATAGGTTGACCCTTTTTTGCTTTAAATACATCAGATGACTTTGACGACTGCAAAGTTCTAGCATGATTTTTTAAAAATGTGATAAGCTCAGATAATTTAGGTAACTCACTTGTTTTTGAATCTCTTTCCCACTAAAAACGAGTGGAAACATCCAATTTTTGCAGCAAAATATATGCAAGAAATGTTTCTGCAAATTTCTTTGGTCTAATATTTCCAGAGACCTTACACTTTCCTTCACTGTGTCTACTAATTTTAAAATAGAAGACGGGCTTTCATTTTGTATGGGAGAAATTGACATGAAACGCTTTATCTGGGCGAAAACCTGATCACGTTTATTGGAGTATCTCTCTTCTAAAAAATCCCAAGCAATTTTATAGTTACTGTCACAAATTGTGACTAATTGAATAATCCTAGCTGCTTCGCCATAAAGCAGCAACTTCAAATACGAGAGCTTTTGGGAATCCGATAATACATTATTATTATGCATGCTTGAAATGAAAAGATCCCTAAAGCTTAACCAATCTTGAATATTTCCACTAAAATATGGCAAGTTTAATTTAGGTAATTTCATATCTTGTGCATTGGTATTTTCAATCTTTACATTACTTGCATCTTTAACACTAAATTTTGACATTTGCCGTTAACCTTAACCCACAAAGTATCAATGCTCTCTTGAACAGTTGCTGTTCAGTTAATATTTGTCAAACTCTTTTTCATCAACTACTTCAAAAATTTATCAAAAAATCTCTGAAACACTCATTATTAATTTTACACATTTATTTCAAAAAGTTGTAACTGAAATTCATCACAAGTATATTTTTCGAAATCTGAAGTTGCTTTTGTTATACTTTAAAATTATTTTCTTAATTAAAAGTGCTTCTATAATTAACGTTAATTAATAATACCGAACATATATGAGCAAATTCACTTACCTCTGTTTGAGGTAATCGAAAGGAAACCGAAATTTCTAAGTCCAATCACACACTAGTTTTTAATTATCTTGTCGAATGCGAAGTAACATATCGCACTTTTTATCAATTTAACACTTCACCTTTAAGCTTTTTAACGAGCACTTTATTCACAGGCACTAATCTTCCTCCGGCTCGACCACAATTTTCGAGAATAAAAGTATTCATGAAATACAAACACTAGGATTTAATGGACTGTAGCTTTATTTTCTTTTACTTCTGTTTGGATGGACATTCTTGCCATCGCATACGTGCACCTCCCAGCGCGCAATCAATTTAAAATGGCCGCTAGCTAAGCACGTTGTTGTTTTCTCTCATCATGGTTGCCAGATCACTTCTGCCTTAACAATAACTATATAGCATCGTATACGAGTTCTTGTGTTATCTAAAGTACAGGATCTGGTCTTCTTCGGCAGTATACAATTAGACGAGACCTCTAAAAGACCTTCACTGTGTCTTATTAATACCACATAGACAGGGAAATTGTATACAGGACCCTTTTGTTTATTCAAATAAAGTTTAACAGACGACACTAACTCGTGCTTATAGAAGTTAACACGTTTGGCTTAAAATCAAAGGGCAAATTTAAACTTAATAAAATAAATGTAGCCTAACGGCTTCACGGTTTAACTATCGCGCAAGCTGGCTCTGACCGAAGTCGGCTTAAGCAAGCCTAATAGCAAGAATAACTGAAAGCCGTAGAAGTCTAATCGCTAGAGAATCTATGTTAACAATGTGGCCTTCAAGCAGGCAGAACACGCTCTAATTTCATCTTACAAAAACCTTCCTTAAGTACTTCCTTTCTTCTACGTAACTTGATTATAGCGCGCGCTGGAAGTTTGCATTCTGTCAGGAAATTGAAACGAGGGTTGATAAAAAAGTAATTTAGCTTAAAATAATGCGGGTTAAAAAATTAAAATGAATCTTACAAAAGTTTGATAATTTATTTACGTTTTTAGTAACACAGTAAGCTATTTAAAATTTACGTAGTAAAGATTAACCTCATTAACTATCAATAAACATAGTAAAAACTAGCCGAAATCTCCAGAAGTTCACGTTTTTCTACGGTAGTTCAGTTTATTGTTTTGACGAATTTTAAAAGTGGTAATGATCATTGTCACGCTATGCGTTTCAAGCAGATACGCGCTACACTTCAGTATACCTCAGGACTAGAAGAAGATGTGTATGTTTAGTTTATTGTGGGACAACTCATGAAGGCTACCTGTTTAAGGAACAAGTGACTTCCAGCTAGTTTAATTATTACAAGTTAAATTTTTAAGGGAAACTGGCTAGTTTTTACGTTATAGATGGAGGAAAAAACTGAAAACAATGCCCATGCGACCAGCCAGTTAGACAAGTATCAATCACATTACGAGCTAACAGTGATAAAAAATCTTAATCACTTCTGCACTAATGATCTCCTAACAAGATATAGTAATTTAATTATCTGCACAGAATAATATATACCACAGCTGATTTCTCTGGGAGAGGTATCATTGTCTTTCTTTAAATTTTAACACATATCCAAATTTAAACTTTTTATAACAGATTTATACTTAGTTGTTCGTTGTAAGCAATCATAATATCGATGAGTATCTACATATTACATAATATGCACTCATAACATACTTGTTTGTTTTTCGGCTGCATACATTTTCTACAGCGTTTATTGAAACTGCTCTAAATGTCCAAAGAATTTTTCAATACAATTCAGCTTGCGTCTAAGCGAAGCCACGCAACTCAAATCCACGTAATATGAGGAACAACTATAGTTCGATAACAGTTTTGGCTACTTTGTTATTACAGTCTTTGTGATAATGTATTAACATTCAAAATTAAAGTTTAGCACTTTGACTAATTTCTTACTATATAGTCCTTATACTACTATATTGTTTTATATAGTATTTTTATACAGCTTGCGCCTAAGCAAAGCCACGCAACTCAAATCCGAGTAATATGAGGTTCAAATATAGTTCGATAACTGTTTCGGCTACTTTGTATTACAATCTTTGTGATAATGTATTAACATTAAAATTAAAGTTTAGCACTTTGACTAATTTCTTACTATCATTAGTCCTTATACTACTATACTGTTTTTCTTTTTAAAGTGTTTTAATTGTCTTTTATTTTTATTCAATGACGCAAAATATTTGTCAAGCTTAAATTAATATTTTATATGTACGAACTGTACAAACCTAAATAATATGTTCAACATACAATTATTTAGGGTGTCCTACTTGAAAAAGGCTCCAGGAAGCCTCTGATAAAAGTTTTATAACAAGAAGAAATGAAACCAAATTTTTACATTTTTACATGACATGCCTTTAAGTTTGGAAAATGAAATTACGTTACAAGAGGTACTAGAAGTGATCTTTACCCTCCTGTATATATAGTTCAACACGGATCTGTATTTTCGTGTGTGTTGCGGCCAGAGTACACGCGGTATAGTGATGAAGATATCCATTTATCAGGATAACGAGTCCATTTATCAGGATAACGAGAAACAAACGGTTATGGAATAGTGACAACCAAAATGCAGTGGTCGAGGAAGACCTTCATTCACAGAAGGTGGGCGTGTTCTGTACATGTTCACAGCAGCGCATCTTTGGGTCAATCTTTTCACACTACTGTTACCAGTAGAGTGTACCAGACACTGTTTCATGAATTTGTGAACCAGTTGGATGATGACACTTGGCTGATACTAGCAAGATGAGTCAACATGCTGCAGCGAGTATGACTGCGGTGGAATAATTTTTCCAGACTTGAACCCCTTGCCTTTTTTCCATGAGATGATCTTAAAGGTAATGCGTACAACCACAAACCACGTACCATCGACCAGTTACGTCAGAACATCCGCCGTGAAATCCAGGTTGTGACGCCCAATATTCTGAGAATAACATTCGCGAACATGCACAGCCGTGTTGAAATGCATGTACAGGTGGGTTAAATCATTTCCAGCCCCTCTTGTAATATACTTTCATTTCTCAATCATTAAATATGTCACTAAAAATTTTGGTATCATTTCCTCTATTTATACGATTTTTATCACCCTTTTTCCAGAGCCCCTTGAGAGTAGAACAACCGGTATTTCTAATTCTTTCATCATTACATCAATGTATCATTACTTAATATAGCTTTTTTTAATTTTATCATTATTATGGAATATTTCTTTTGTCTTGCTTTTTGAAAAGCGAAATATAAATTAAATTCCACCAGTTTATATAGTACTACTCACTTTGCTGCTAAAGTAGTATGTGAATATATATTAAAGATATTTTTCCGTATATATGAAAGTGCTTGTACATTTTTACAATAGCAGTAGTCATTTTGATCTTACCAAATATACAAGCATTGCGAATTCAACAATATTTATTCAGTGTTTTGATATTTCTAGGTACTTATTTCGCTTGCATCATGATCATGGTTGCTTTCTCTGTGGTGATGACAGTCGTTGTCCTCAACTACCATCACAGGAGTTCAGATACACACGAGATGCCAGACTTTGTAAGTTGAGCAATCTGATCTCAGACATAAAATCATTTCCATTTTTTAAGATAAGTTTCACTTAGCTGCGTGTTTCATTTAATTAGATCCGATCCTTATTCCTCGTCTGGCTACCATGGTTTTTGAGGATGGATAGACCAGCGCAGAAACTGCAACGGAAAGTTTTCTTTGGGTCCAAAAAAGAGCTGGAGATGAGGCAAAGATCTTCTAGGAGCTTGCTAGCCAATGTGATGGACATTGATGAAGAATACCTTGCATCAGATGAACAACCTGCTACCGTCCGTGGTTGCTTCGCCACTCAGCGAGAATTAGTTGCCATTCTTCGAGAGTTAAAATACATTACTGCACGTATGAAGCGAGAGGACAAAGTAAACGATATTATTGCTGAGTGGAAGTATGCGGCTATGGTCGTAGACAGGGTGTGCCTGATCATATTCACAGCCTTCACTGTATTATCTACATGCATCTGTCTGTTTTCAGCTCCTCATCTGGTGGCCTGATCCTTTTCCTTCACTAGTAGATATAAATTTAGATTCCAAATAACCTTACAGTCATTCACGTCCGCATTTAAAAATAGAGAATAATGATGAGTTTCTCAGTAAGAATTTTACCAACGTACATTTTATTACTACTAATGTATAGAACGATGCATTTTAGATACATAATTTTATTCTGTAGCAAACAGAAAAATAGAGACAATAATATAACTACATTATTCAAAATATATCATTTTTGATGCTTCGTTACATATAACGCGCGATCAGTAGTGAGTATTGTCAAATACAGTTCCTTTGTTTAGGTAATCAAAGTTTAATTTCTTAGCATTACCCGCAAAGTAATAGTCATACTGCGTAGTTAATTTAGACGCGAAATTTCATTTATGTTGCTTGAACGATCTCGTGAAATACTCACTTCTTAATTGCAATACATCTATAAACAATGCTAAAACCTGTCCTGAATCATAAAGTAGATTAAAAATGCAGTATTAAATGTTAGTAGAAGGTTTATATTTCTGGAAGTAATGAAGTTGTTTGACTTAAAGTTTAGAATAAATAGAGTTGTAATATCAGAACAACTCAGGTGCTATGATTCTAATGAGATGCCCAACTTCCTCTACTAGTAAAAATATATATAACCTAGAATTTTCTATGAAACTTTTTAAAAAAATCTTGTTGCATTATATTAATAATAATATATCATAAATAATATTACACAACTCTTGTGATAAAAAAGTCTGTGTCATTAAATATTGAGCTATTTTATTTTTAATCGAAAATATAGAATTTATTCTCTTGTTATTTATATGGTTATACGACCAGGATTGAATGCATACATATCTAATATTTTAATGCATTAAATATACAAAATTTTAAACTGTATGCTTTTCAATTGCAATTTCTAGTTTGTTGAAAAAATGAATTTAGAGAACTTAAAGGAAATTTTATATCAGTACCGTTAACAGGTTAGAAACAAATTAATCTTAGACATATAAGGTCTTGTTAAAGGTGTTTTGAAATGAAGCGAAAAATTTTATCCTTAATAAAATGGAAAAAAAAAATATTTTAAAATCTTTCAATAAAAATCATCTGAAATATTTTTTAAATACGTCGTATAAACCTATACGTTTTAATAACATTGAAATAAGGATTAAATTAATTAAATTAGTCTAAATGTTTGTGCGGTTATAGGTTTACAGAACAGGATCCAAGGTGAATATAAATATGAGATTCTTATATTCTAAAAATTTGAAATAACAATAAAAACAACCCCTTTTTTTACTGATTACGCTCTCCATTCGTAATATTAATATTCTGCTATATTTTGAAACTGTGATCTTACTTTTATGTAATACATAAAAATTCCATTTATTAAGGAAGACTTCATATGAAAACAGTAAAATTTCATTCATTATAAATTTTTAACGATTATAATTTTGTGTTGCCAATGTTCACTTGTTCTAAATTTGGCGTATTTAAAAGCCCAACTGTCTTGCTATTGTTTGCACAATTTAAATCCTTTTTTTTAAGTTCTGTTGTGTTCTGTTAGTTTGCCTCTTATTTATGTACCTTCGCTGACAAGGAAGTTGAAAAGTGTTCATTTAAAAGAAGTGTTGAAATTGACAAATCAATTTGACAAATCGAGTTTTGAAATTGACACATCAATAATGAATTGTTAGTTACAAAGTTAGAAACAAATTATTGTGATGTTTTGAAATAAATTGATGATTTTCTCGTTACAAAATTAGGAACTTGCTCTTCTTACGATATGTATTTATCATTCTTTCTTAAACTTATTTTAAATTATTTGCATTACTTTTTGGATATTTATAAGGGTCTGTTTACTAATTCATTCCTAGTGCAATGTGTATAAAGAATTTTTCTTCAGAAGTCTTTTTAAAATTAATATTTGCATCAATTTCAGGAATATTATAATCATTTTTTATTCTATGAATTTTTTGCGCCACATCTAAATCTTTTTTCACACTCTTTTAATGCTGTTTTCATTAGTTTCACACACAGTGTTAAAAATTAAAATTAAGTTTCTTTCGTAGCTAATGAAAATTAATACTTAATTTCTGTGGATAATTAATGAAAATTTCTCATATATTCATGCGAACTTACCGAATTTTTCATAATCTTCGCTGCATTCTTTAAATCGTCATAAATTTTGAGTTTTTAACCGCTAACAGTCGATAAATTTGATTTAACAATTCCTTTCTTTTATCAGTATCTACAAACTTTTATTCCGTTGAAATCAATAAATTGTTTGTAATAAAACTTATTGTTTAAAATAGTATCATCATGTTGGGCACTTCCTTGTTAAAGTGACCTTTGCATATACCTTTGCTGGCTTTTGAAATTTGCATATCACAGATTGAAGATTAATTTTACCAAATTTGGCAATTAAACGGGATTATGCTTAAACAAGAAAAGTTGTAAAAAAGTATACAATTTTTTTAATGAAAGATTTAAAATTTATTTTATTTTAATGTTTGCTTATTTCATTTATAATAAATGTATTTGATTCAAAATAAATTATAACTGTGTTAATATTAATACAGCTTTAAATTTGCAAAATATTTAGTGTTCAGCTCCTTTCTTCATTTACCAAACCTGCAGCCAACTGTCATTGCCTCCAGCGAGTTTTAGTCTCCATCGAGTTTTTGCCTTCAGAAGTTCTCAAAGTAAACACAACGTTAAAATAATGTACAAGATTGTCATAAAAAATCTTCCCGATATTTGAACCTGTAGCGGCCTATCCGTTCAACCAGTTGTTGAAATGAAATTTCAGATTTTGTTATTTGAAGGTATGCCCTCAAGATTGTGAAGATTTAAAACAATTGAGATCTCCTGGATTGACTTCTTTCCTTGGACACCGTGCCGTCAGCAGCCCGCTCCATACATATGTTAATTTACTTAATGTCTTGTGTTTCCTTTTTTTTTTTTTTTTTTTTTTTTTTTTTGTTGTTGTTGTTGTTGTTGTTGTTTTTGCTGTTTTTTAATTATATTTAATATTAGGATTAATCCAAAATTCAGTTAATGTATTCCACAAATTGTAATGTATTTGATCATCTTTACATATGTACCTGATTATTATAGCACATCCTTAAAATAACTGTATGCTTAGCATGTACCATAGTAGTGAAAATCGTTCCGCTTAGTTTCAGCAGTCCCCACCATGCACCTTCTTTCCACGTTCTGGTCCTTATTTCAATGTTCCTTGTTTCGTGGCCATTCCCCGGAGGACACAATACTAAGCTCTATTTATATTTATTCATATATTTATTTTTAATTCCATCGACGGTATCCAACAGGCTGAAAAGCACCTAACCCAGTGGGCCAGCTTGGCGAAGAGAAAGAAAGCTCTCACAGTTACGGTTACAGAGGAAGCATTTCGAAACTTTTTAATGGCACGCCTACGTCTTCCTGCGCAAACTTATCAGTTCATTGAAAACTTATAAATGGCGTTGGAACAATACACGTATGACGGAATTGCTGACTTAAAATATTTGCAAAGAAGAGAATTAAGTACTAATAAAAACACAAGAGAAGAAGGGGGAAAACATTTAGTGGAATTTATTAAATTTTCAATGTGCCCACCTTCACAGATGATAACGCATTACATGCGGGAGATTGATGATAGCAATGACGAACGTAACATCGCAGGAAGAATTTGCGTAATTTATGGCATCTCTTAATTCTGACAAATTTCGTAGATTTCATATATACACCTTAGATTTTAGTTAACTTCAGAACTCGAAATCGGGTGAACTATTGAGGTCGGGAGGATGGCGGGTAGCCACGAAACTACAAAGTTACGGGAAATGACTCTATCTTGAAAAGCTGCATAGGTTGAGAACTTGTAATTCGAATAAAATGTTTTCCCTGTTCTCTCTCTTGTTGTCACAGAGTCTCTGCAATGATTTTCTTTTCAAATATTTTAAGCCAGCAAGCTCCTTCACACATACATCGTTTTATGGTTTCAGGATTCTTAATGAGATGATGAATTTACGCTGAAAAATGTGTGTATTTCGAAAATTTCAATTTTTTATTGTAATCGTAACCGTGAGAAGTCTATTGTTTTAAGTCATGACAATCCCGAACGTATACCTTCAAATAACAATATCTGAAATTTCGTTTTAATTGGTTGAGTGGACAGGCTGCAAGATTTTATATATTAGTGACTTTTTATGATCATCCTGTACATCCAATTACAGATGCATTCTGAAACTTGAGGAGATTTCTATCTATTTTCACCAAGCTAACTCAAAATGAATTGTCTTACTATTACAGTTCTCTTCGAATTATGATAGACTTACGTTTCCGTAAACCACCGTAAGCTAAAAGTGGTTTCGAAAGTTGAAACTATATTTAACATATTTCTCGAAATCTCAGCTGAGCTTAAGTTAATGAAATGTAATCGGAAGTATAAGCCTCACTTTCAACAAAATCATTCAACACAAAGCCTGTTTTACATTAAACTTTTAACAGTTGATGAATTAATTAATAAATGCATTCAAGCGGAACAAAATGTGGATGCCTCTATAAATTTAGATGTTTTGATGGGAAGACAAAAGCTTTACGCCAAAAGATCAGTCACCAGTACGTTGGTTATTGTACTTTGGTATGTTAACCAGTAAAGATTGTTAGAGCCATCCAACCATATTTCATCTTATATTACTTGAAGAATGTTAGTAATATTATTGTCAATATTTTTCTCATGAAACTGAAAGTAGCTGCTAGACGGCACCAAACAGTTGACTGTCACTTGTTGGTAATAAATCATCTATAAATTTAGTACTCTCTACAAAGGTATTTAATGTCGATTGTATAGTTTGTTTCTTTTTTTTTTTCATTTTCTGTAGCAACCAGAAGCATCGCTTATTGGCCTATCAGTACCTTTGTTTAATGCAGCGTGTATATATGATAAAGTTTAAACGCCTGTCGATATTAGGAAGAAACGAGAACATTCATAATTTTCCTCAGTGCTCATATAGTTAATTCTTTTGTGTGAAAACTTCTTAAAGATTGATCACCTTGCTAAATTTCGAATTAAAGAACCCGTCTATTATTCCTATAAGTTTGGAAGTAAGCTAGCCATAGTTTCGAGTAGTGGAGTAGTGGAGTTTTATTTCATAGTCTTGGAAGAAAAGTTCTTTTGCACTCTCTGGTGTCGAGAATTTCGTCCTGGTATTACTCTATTAAATTAATAAATAACAGATTATTAGATTTCAAGACATGGTATTATAATTTTCATAAAAGTACAAATGTAATTGTTATTTCTTTAGGACTAAGGTTGCTGATACTTTACTGCCGTTTTACCCAGGGATGACATTTTTAAAGGAATGAGCTCACTTATATATTTCAAAAAGTGCAAAATAAAATTAAAAAGGAAAAAAAGTAGCTTTTATTTACCAATAAAAAATATTATACGTACAAAAATTATCATTAGAAGAGGTGAAAAAAACTAAGAGGTTAGCAATGAATGATGAAAATCAATCAAGTAAAAGACAAATTAAAAACACTCAGTATTAAAGTGGGAAAAATTCCAGATGCGAAAAATGACAACAAAATACCCTGAAATCTATGTGACTGATAC